TTTAGAGATATGCTGTCAACTCATTTGAAGAGTCTGTCAGCACCCTCTCTTCCTCTGGGTGAAAACTTGAAGCAGAGAAGATGGGGAGACAAACTGGCAACTGCACAAGACATAAGAAAAAGTATAGAGCTAACTACAAGACCACATAGAGAAAGAAGTCGTTTTTTTCTCTATACCAAAAAGCTACACACAGATTCTGATTATGCCTGTCAAAAGTAGATAAGGCTTGAGTTTTTCATATCTCCCTGTTATAGAATTTGTATTTGTAACTCCGTCATACCTTTTTTGGAAGAATATTTATAAAGCAAGATATTATGTTTTAGAAAAAGAAAGGGTGGGTATTGACTGCTGATACTTTTAAAGGTATGAAGGAAAAGCATTAGGTGCAGTGCAGTTGGAAAGTATTCAATTATTGTTGTGTAAACCCATTTCAGACCAATCACAGATTCAAGTATTTTTGTCTTTTAAATCTTTGCACATCTAAAATCTTTGGTCATTCTTTGCAACACAGCTCAGACTACGACAAACTGGACAGAGCTTTAGTAAGAAATAATTTTCCTGTTTTATACAAATACAGGATTTAATTAGATTTAGAATAGTAATTTGATTTGGCTTATCAATTAATACCATTTTATACAAACAATTACACTATTCTTTTTTGTATAATAAAGGTTACGGTTGCCAAACTTCTGCCCCATGCTTGGGTCTTTTTCAACCTCTAAAGATTTTCTTCCAGTGTTGCTCTGTTTAATACCAGTCAGCTTAAAAAAAGCTCCAACTAGGAATTTGTACCTGCTGATTCAAAAAAAATAAAAACCCCTTAGCATGATTCTACCACTGCCGTGGAATGATCTGCCCAAGTTGTTGTGGTGAGCTACAAGTAGTTCCACATTTTTTCAGTAGAACTAGTATTATTTAGATTCCCTGTACTATAGAAGTACAGGTTATACAGGTGTATAAATATTTGCATTGTATTGGTGTCATTTTTTTTATGATTGTGAAATTCAGATAATGGAAAGCAGATAAGGTTCATGAAAATGTTCAATACTGTATTTGTAGAAAGTTGAGTGGAAGGAAAAAAGTATGAATGGAAAAGGTGGAAAAGCAACAGGCATCGGAGAATATGAGTGGTTTCAAAAGCAGTGGATTGAATCTGGTGTCAGCAACCAAGAGCCAATGTGAACAGACTTTTAAACATGCAATAAAACGTTGCATGTCTTGTGTAAAGTCAGTCTTAAAGCAGAACATACAACCTGAGAGGATTTTTAACTAAATTAAGGAGAAAAATATCTCTGACTTTACTTCTGTGGTCAAAAGTTTTTTTTTTTTTTTTTTTTGCAGATTAAGAATCATGTTTTAATTTATCTGGAAATTAATGTCCCAAGTCTGGAGCAAGAATGTGGAGGCATAGATTCCACATTGCTTTAAGTGTGACGTTCCCCACAGTTTGTGATGCCAAGCTGTCTGATGGATTTGGCCTGTGTTTTCTAAAGTCCACAATAAATGCAGCCATCTAGCAGCATTAACACTTTCCTTCTATTGACAAGCTTTATGGGGATGAGATGATTCAGGCAAAAGAGGCCCCAATCGAGTATTTGGTGCAGATAAAGGAACATATTCACAAAAGTCTGACACATCTGTTTGAAATATCCCTTTTTACTTATTTTAGATAATACTGTAGTTTTCTAAGATAATTAATTTATAGTTTTCTATGATCTTTAAGCCATTATGGTCGGAATTAAAGAAATAAAGGTTTAAAATATTTCCCTCTATGTAGAATAAATCCAAAAAGTGCCAAAACTTTTACATTTTTAAAAACATTCTATAATCTTTCATTTCTATTTTGATGAAAATGCCAAAAAGAAGAAGGAAAAGCATAGAAACTCAAGATTTGCCACCTCCCATTTAACTCTTGGAAGGATACAGATATAACAGTAATAATACACAAGAAACACAAGTCAGTTAGGCTAAACCATGCTCTGTTTTTTCTCTGACAGACCAGTTCAGTCAGAGGACAGAAGCAGCATTATTGAGCTGTGGGCTTGGCCAAAAGACGGAACAATAGCCCCTGTGTGCCGGACCCTCGGGAGCATCCCAACAGCTGGGAGATAGAAGGTTCGTCTGTGGCTCCACTAAATGGCATGTAAATGGAAACTGTCACATTGCCCTATTTGGCATCCCCAGAATCGCTGGCACACCTTCCCCTATTTTAATTATCTTTTTTTAACCCCCCTCACCTCTGTGCATGCTCTGTCCTTCTCTCCCTACCAGTTTGTGTCTCCCCTATCACTCCAGTACACCTCAAATGAGACACAAAATGGTGAAAGACAGAAAGGGAGAGACTGTTCCTGGTTGCATGAGAAAGGCAGAAACTGGCAGAGGATCAGAGTAATGTCAACAAACAAGAGAGGTCCAAAAAGCCTCCGCAGTATGCTTGCCAAAACTCTTCTGTCACAAAGGAGGTTGCCAGCGTTGCAAGATTTTTTTTTTTTATCTCAAAGCAAAAAGTTCTCAGGAAACATGGGGACAGCTGTGCTCTGTTGTGGCCATACATCTACAGATAGGATTCAGTAAGAGAAACCGGGTTCTCTGTCGTGAAAAGTACTTTATAGTTTGATGATGCTACATCACAGCATCATTAAACGTCAGAGCTGATTGGGAGTGATTATAGCATCTGAAAGCCACTTTTATATCCTACCAACATGATAAATATTCTAGTCACATTCTCTTCTCAAGCACATACATCTTTTATCCCTTTTTATGGCTTATATTAATAAGGTTTTTAAAGTTTAAGACTCAAGTCTTCTGAAAATGTAAAAAACTGATCTGAGTTGAATAACCTTATTATCAAATAACCAAGTCAGAGAAATTATTGAGTTCTTCCATTTAACATTCTGCCATAATCTTAACTAAAAAGAGAAGCTTGTGTCCCTCATATTATCATATGTATCTTTATCACATTTGACTGATTCAGTTCATAGGAGATAAAGACTGGCCCAGTTAATACAGTGTTATAAGCAGGAGGGTACTTTAACTGCTATCAGTTTACAGATGATCTAAAATAAAAATTCATTTATCATGATAATCTTTGTACTATTTGTTAGGTGGTAGAACCACCTCAGACTAAATCAAGTTGGAAAAGGAACACAGAAAGGTCAAAGATGGAAACTATTGTTCTTCAAGGATTATATTTTGTGTAAGCCCTACATTAAATACACTGTGCAACACCTTAGTTTCACAAAAAAACATGTTTAAAATCTAAACTTAGCAATATCTACATATTAAAGGTATAGAGGATGATATTTTATTTCCGGGTGGTTCATCTAAATAAGTGGTCCTCCTTATTGTCAATCATTCTGTTGATATGTTTACCGTACATAAAGTGAAGTGCCAAATTGTATTGAAGCTAACATTTCTCACCGCAGTTCTTTGAAAATGGCCAAGGGTCGTAAGAAAGAAAGTGTCTACGAAACTTATGAGACGAAAGGGCTCAGAAGAAGCAGATTTATCCCAGAATGCTTTCTGCTGAAAGCTCTCCTTGCAAAGCACTATAGGATTTGCTGTCACAGTGGCCTGCTGATGCCATAGGCTGTCTCTACCCAACAGCGGCGATTTATTACAGAGATGGTGAAGGCACGGTGCCGAGGAGGAGTTACATGACCAACAGAGCAAAAAGAAGTGATCCTCCTTCTGAACGGTCAGTTAACTCAGTTTTGTTTTTAGTTCCATTTTTTGTTCCTTGTTGCTTTTGGCCCCGTTAGGTTTTTTTAGGTTTTGGGACTGGCCCTTTTTAAACAGGGTGTGCACAAGGAGAAATGGGCTCATGCATGCTCTTGCACACCTCCACAATACCTTTATTGTACTAGGTTTGCTCATAATTAGTTGCTTTTTTTGTTTGTTTTTTGTAGCCAAATGTAGTTTGTTAGGAGAGTATATTTTGTTGTGTTTATACAAGCTTTATTTAGCATGACTGCCATTACAGGAATATTTGTAAACCTGACTTCTAGACTCTTGGACACAGCTTGTTGGTGGGGGGGCTTAGCAGCCGCATACTTCACATATACATCGAGCTTGCTCTAATTCCAGTCACATTTTTATTTAAAAAAAAAAGAACTCTTATGTTATATTTGATAAAACATGCTGCAGAATATTTGTTTTTCTAATAAAAAACATAATTAACATATAAAAAGATGAACATAAGTCATAAAAGAACTTGATTCCTTGTGTTAAGGTGCTGTCACACTTTCAAACAGCACAAAGAAGGTTTCAGATTTCAGAAACCACGATTTTTTTTAATGGGCTGTAACCTACCATCCCCCCATTACAGTTTGCAAACCGAGTAGGCTTGGAGAAAGACCCCGGCCCCTCATCGCACAGAAATTCATTCCCAGCGGTTTGAGCGCTCCATGAACTCTCCATCCACCAAACCCCCCCAGTTACTGACATAACAGCTGGCTTACATGTTTTGAATGCTTCCCTCTCATTTACAAACATACGTGGCAATACTAGTTATCTGGATTACTTGCAAAAAAGAAAAGGACAAAAAAAAATCCATGCAATTCCTCAGACTGTACATATATCAAGACATTGCTGCAGCGGCAGCTGCTGCAGATGTGCCGATCAAACTGATCATCCAACAGCCTCTTTATAAATGGGACTTTTACGCATTGGGAATTTAACGCAAATGGGAATTTAACGCATTAGAAATACGTATTTGATACTTTTTCAATATGGATTACTTCGGGATCCCATTAATATGTTTATCACATGCATGCCAGGATAATGTGGGAGTTAGGGCTTGGAGAGGAGTGTTGAATTACCAACACCGTTATGAGTCTGGCAGCTCCAGCTAAGGTCTAATGTTACAACATGGTGACTCTGTTCTGAGGCAGTAAGTTGAACTGAATAGTCCAGAGATCGCTGCATTAAGAACATCCATGCAATGTTATTAAAGTCGGATTTCAGTGTGGCTGCAGCAGCACATGACGTTCAAACGTTACCTGGTATGTTGGTTAAAATCCCGGTTATTTCCTTTCCATCCTCACAGAGACGCACAGCGCGCCACTGAATCCAAGCGTTTAAATCCCCGGGTCAGATCCATGGCTGCACCGTCTCTGATATCAAATGCGCTCCTGCTGGAGGAGGCGGCAGCGGCGCAGAACAATCCAGCCACTTTTTTCTTTTTTCTGCAAAGGGTTTCTTTGAATAGATCTTGACAAAGCTGAGATTAAATGTTTTCCAAGTCAACTGACGGCAAATATTTCAACTTGATCCCTTTTTGGGGGGGTTTATTCCGGAGCGACGAGGCTTTCACGACTAAAAAAGCGGAGTTGCGTTTGGTTTGTTTGGGAAGAATGTCCCCGCAACAATCAGCGATGATGGTATGAGCCACTCCATTGTTGGGGCGCGAGGCAGCGTCCCATGCTGATGTGTGATCGTGGGAGGCTCGCTGACAGCGCGTGCGCTCGCAGCATTGGCTGAAGTGCCAAATCGTCATACTGGGCTGTCCAAAGAATTATAATGTTCCATTTATTCAACTTGCATTTCCTGATCCGTAAGATTGTGATTTCATTAAGGCATCAGCTTACTTATACAGAACAAAGACAAACTGAAATAAAATGCAGTAGTGCTCAGATATAGTTTTTGCTTGTTACACACACACACATATATATATATATTAGAGCTTGATTTATGAAAAAAAATCTGTACAGTGAGTGTACACACACATTTTCTACATATTGGTTATTACTATCAATTTTTTGTCCATTTCAAGTATTTAGCGAGTTGTTTGTGGTTGGACTGGTGGTCAGGGATGGAAATCAAAGTCAAACTCAATATTGTGAACACAAACCTGAGCTATTTTATTTGGTTTATTTTGAGCTAGCTCATAAATAATTTTTTTATTTTTTTCTGATCAACCAAAAAATTCAAGCAACATTTTCAGATAAATAGGCTGTATTTATAAAATACAAATGTCTGCACTGGACCTGTACTCGTTCTAAACCACAGACTTCTGAACGCTGTTGAAGTGGAGTGAAAGAAAAAAAGATTTAAAAAAATGAACACATATTGTGTTTGTGTCCTAAATTTTTTGTAAAAACACGATTAATGAAATAAGAATATAGATCATGAGACCCCACGATAACCTCCAACAAACTTGAAGCCTAGTCGAAATAAAGATCAAATGTTTTGTTTGTTTTTTCCAATATGGAAGGGGAGGTGATTTAATTGTTTAAATAAATACCCCTGATCACTATTTATACTTAGATGCACTAAAGTTTACTGTTTTGACAAGTTAAAAAAAAAAAGAGTTAAAAAAAAAAAGTAAAGAAATGGGGAGAATCAATGTAATTACTACTTTAGATAATTGAAACTTTTCATTTTGAAAATTAGCAAAAGTAAAATCTCAGAATTTGCTATATATTGTTTGAACTACAATTGTTTGGTGATAAGTAGACATTTTACATTTCACCTCCTTCACACTCTTTGAGAACTACTTTTTTTCAACAGTTGAGTCCAATACCGAACATGAGGCTTGTTTATCACTGCAGCAACTATTTTAGTAAGATTTAAGTTCTAATATTTTATCTGTATTTCTGTACGCTGTCGTAAAAAAACTCAAATAAAACGTTTGTTTCTGATAATAAAGTTTTTACTTTTAACCCCACAGATTTCTTACACCGGAAGTCCCGCCCCCTGCTTCCGGTAACTTCACAACATCGAACATGTCTGCCTCCATAGCTTCCCTCGCTTCGTACGGGAGTGATTCCGATTCTGAAAACGACTCAGAATCCATTACCAGCACCGAAAAAGTTGACCCAATTGATCCGGATGCGACTGCTCATCTTAAACCTCTTCAGTCTGGACACAAAATGTCTTTGGCTGTTCTCAATTCTGCCCCGGAGGTTGCTGTTAAGGTAAGCTAAGTGATATAGGCTACATAACGTTAGCTTGACGTTCAGTTCGGATTTTGTATTTAAACTGCGATATAAATTGTTTCCTCCACTAAATAAATACATACATATTATGAAGCATTGCTTTATATGTTATACATTTGTTATACATTTGTGAACGTTTCTATATTTTCTAATGGAAAACTGTCGCTATGATGTTAGTAGCATTGTTCACTGAACAGCCTCTTACATGTAGCCTATGTATTTAGTAATTCTGTAAAGTCATTTGGTAAAAACCATTAATCTTAGCTGTTATCTGACATTGTCGATGATGGTTATTTCTATAACAGCTGGCTATATATTTGTTTTTGGGGTTCTTTTGTATCAGGAGGCTGTTGAGACTGGAATACACTTGGACCCTTCACTAAAAGAAGTCACTTATAACCCGACATTTGAAACTATGTTTGCACCTGAGGTAAGTCTCTGAATAGTATTATACTTCTTCAAACAATTGATTCAAATTCATAATAGAGATATACCAAAAAACAATCAAACGTACACTAAGTTATCACACAAGTGTTCTTATATGAATGCTAACAACAACAATAAAAAAAATATGAATACACTTTATGAAAAAATAGCATAATTTCATGCATAGGTTTACTTTTTGAACATAAATGTTGCCTTTCTGAGGCTTTGTGAAGGGAAATCTGTGTTTTGCACGGTCCAATTTTGTGTCACAAACCTAAAAAAAAAAATGTACCAGTTTAATAATGGAGAATATATTGGTCAGCTTTATACTTTTTTTGATATATAAAAAATTTTCTGAGAATGTGTTGAATTATGAGCCACTATGTAAATTCACAAACATCTAGAAAAAGTACACTATATTATATTATTTTCCATCTGAATCCCAGATTGGTCATTCTTCTTTGCCTTTTCTACAAAGTGCTTTAAATCAGTCCTAGCTGTCTTTATCCATGCTGGATCAGATCCTGATATTTGAAAAAGGAGGCAGGGAAAGCAGGATAAAGCTTCATGCTAGCCAAGCCTTCTTGCTAAACCATTTCCTGAAAAAAGAAAATTTCTTGCACCATTTCCATTTCACTCTCCAATGCATCTCCAACCCCCCCGACTCGACTATAGCTGCAGGTGGTGAGCAAATGCACTTCCTGTCAGCTCGGTGCGCAGCTCTCTGCGCCCAGAGCTCTCCTAAACTTATGTATTGCAGAGGAGCTACTGCTCATGTACAACTTTTAACGAGAGTCAATTGGTAAAGATTTTAGCGCCTTAGGGCAGAAATACTTCACCAATCTGACGAAAAATTTAATGACTCTTTACTAGTCACTAAAGATTAAATATTTATCTTGCACATCTAAAAATATATATATAGATTTATTTTGAAATATTTCACATCTTAATTTCAACTTAAATTATAAAAATAATCATTTTTTTATGTCTTAATCAGTGTCATTGGGTGTGGGGCGGCGCCCTTGCGCCCTCTATTGGCCAGCCAGCCTGATAGGGGAACAATGTACTGCCAAGCTGCTATAAACATTGGAACTACTGTCTATATTTTGTTAATTTTAAAGCTAATTTTGATTAGCTTTTGTTTTATTGTATTTCCATTTTAATTGTATGTTCTTTATTTCCTGATTATATTTCCTGATGTTGACTGAAACAAAAGATTTTTGATTAATATTCTACAGTACTTTACATATTTATTTACACGTCTTCAACTTAATAAACCAAAAGTAGTGTATGATGATTGTTTTAAACTTTCTACTGTCAAGATGCTCATTGTTAGAATACATGGAACTATGTGTAGTAAAGTAATACAGATAAAAAGAAAAAAGTAAGGGATGTTAAGTAATCTACCATATAAGGTGAATTGATTTTTTAGCACCCTTTTTTGTGGATAATAAATCCAGTTTAAAAATGTCACCTACTCTGCTTTACTAGGTGTCTAAGGTCACTCTCCAAGCCTATGTTTGGTTTTGTCTACTATATATTAAGATTGTTTTCCCAATAGTTATAATTCTACAAAATGTATATATTATTTCTTTAATAATACTTTTGACAAATTTGATGTCTTTTGTTTTAAAAACATGTAAAGATATCTTGCTTTCATATACTAGAGATTTGCCTTCTTCAATACTTTATACCAGTACTCTTATGTTTAGCTAGGCTTAAGAGCAACACATTATTTTGATGCCATGAAAAATTCATAGGTGTCACATATTATGTAGAGCATTTATCCAGCACATACTTTTAAGTTCGAAATAACTATTGGAGGGATGACTTCATAGTCACATGACTTAACTCTTCTGCGTTGCTCTGTCTACACTGCTGAAGATTCACTCACCTCTCTGTTCTCATGTCCTGCCTTGGCTGTAATGGCAGGGCATTCTGACCGAAGTCTTAATAATCTAGCTCATAATGATTTAGCCACTGGTCAAGTGATCATCAAAGATACAGAAAATAAAATAATAGATTAGATCACTCCCTGCATTTAGACTTAGGCAAACTTTATTGTCATTTTCTATGCACAGAATGTATGCAAATCGAATTCCATTGCATACAGCTTACAACAGTGTAATGTTATTGTAGTTACCAAACATAACCAAAATAAAGTACAGCAGGTAACAATGTAGTATAAAAAGCCACTAGTTTAATGTTTCAAAATACATTAATTCGGACATACTTCGTCCCACTATAGACAGTATAGTATCTAGAGTAGTTTTATACATGACGTATGTTATGCTGTCATGCTGTTCAATATAACATAAACCCACGTAAAGTGAGCTTTTAAGCATGTGAACACATTAGGTAAGATAAACAGTTGAATTGCAGCTGAACAGCTCTTGTAAGTGTGTGGGGTGTGACTCATCACAGCAAAATTGTTTTTGCTCGTTTTTCTTTCTTGCTTGTTTTTTTTTTTTTTTTTTTTGATAAGGTGGCAATCAAAATCAGCACCTTCTGTCACAGCAGCAGTGGTTGCAGAGGCGTCGAAAATGTGCATGTTCAAAAGCAGTGGGTTTTTAAATTAGGCCACCGTGCTGAGCTGTGCTGTAACCACTGAATTATGAATAATAAATTTATATAGAATTATTTTGCTGCTTCACTTAAAAAGAATTAGATAATTATTTTTGGTTCTATAATAATAATTGAACTCTATTGATCTCATACTGGAGAAATTTACCTCTGCATTTTAACCCATCCCCTTGGGGAGCAGTGGGCTGCCACTGTGCTGCGCCAGGGGAGCAGTGTGGGGTTATGGGTCTTGCTCAGAGTCCCAGAGTGCAGACTGTGGGGATCAAAACGGGTACTTTCTACATTTTCAGAATACAAGCCACTGCTCTAATCACTAGACAATCACCTCCCCTATAAGAAAAAATGTCTAGTAAAAAAGACATTTGGTCAGTTCACTTATTCTTGAATTATTATTATTTTTTTTACCCTTCACAATGTTGGTTGCTTTAATGATACACATTATTATTCATGAAAAAAAGATTTTCCCACTTGTGTTTGCTCATGAGTG